TTCAGGGTTTTCAGGTTTAAATAATCTACTGGCTTTTCTTTGAATGGGCATAGAAGTGGGGGGGGGGGTAAGAGTTTGGATTATTAAGCCATATTGCCTAGTTTCAAATTTCTCTTCCAACCACTAGCTAGTAAGGTGTACTTGGCCAAATTAGTTAACCTTTTGTTTCCTCTTTAAGTAAAATTGAGACTATACTACTACCACCTCCATAGTGGTTGTGAAGATTAAATAACGTATCTTAAAATTTTCGTAAGAGTACATGACATAGTAAGCACTCAGTGAACTGTAACTATAGTTAAGTCCTCACTTAATGGCATCAATAGGTTCTTGGAAACTGTGACTTTAAGTGAAATGACATACAGCAGGTCCTTAACTATGTGGTTGCCTTCAAAGTAGTTTTATTATAACATTGAGAAAAAAATTGGTTTCCTTATATGTGCTTTCAGAGTCACAATTTCCAAGAACCTATCAACATTGTTAAGTAAGGACTTCCTGAGTTTTATTTTGGGGCATATTTTTTTTCCTTACTGACCCTAAAAGGCCCCATAGGTAAGCTGCCACCTACTTTAAGTTAAAGGATTTTCAGAATTACTTGAAGTGACAAATTTGTTAGCTGGGTCAATTTATCTGATACTTAGGAATCATTAAATAACATCCTATGTAGACCACTGCTCCAGTTTTTGATAAACTGTATAAATTTTATCAGGTGTTGGTCTGAAACTAGATGGCTTACATAAAGGGCAGGAGCTGTGTTATTTCTGACATTCAGAATGCATTTGTGTAAATGGTAGATGTCTGGTATTAGCAGCAGCTGTTACTAATGACAGTTTAATTATTGCCTAAATTTCATTGTCGAAGAGACTGAACTTTAGAGTAGTTCAGTAACGTACTTGAGATCTCACAACCAGTAAGTGACTGTGTTATTTCCAAGCTCTTAAGTCCCATGTTTGTTCAGACAATGAACAAACCAGAGGTGCAGATTATACTACAGCAAAATAACTAATTTAGCCATTGATATTAGTATTTGTCTTCTACCTTGAATGAACTGAATGAGGAATATGTCTTCTAGGGATAGACTGTCAACAATGAATTTTATACTTCGGTTATTACATTATGAGATAATGTGGGGATTTACTTAAATTTATGTAGTAGTTAAGCAGTGTGGGACTTGGTCCTAGTTACATAAATCAATCAGCTCATATACGTTCCCTCCCTTCTAGCTCTGACAGATGAAATCTGAAACACCAGGACAATAGTATTTCGGAAAATTACAGCGTATTTGAAACTAGAAAATCAATTTCTAAAACAAAATGTTCTATCATTATTGCTAAGGGAAAGTTATATGTTGGTACCTGACATGTAATATGTACTGTGTGTCTGCTATTTAGTATTTTAGCAATATTAGCTTTTTTTTTTTAATCCAGATTTTATCCTTTTTTAACATGTGACTCTTTAGGAAATAGTTTTACTTGTACTAATGATAGTACAGAAAATCATTTTCCAAATTATTTAGCCTAAGCTTAACTTCTGTCCCTTGGCTACTTTCCCAAGATGATTTTAGTGATTTGGAGTTGTGGGCTTTCTAAGCGTATTCCCCAGAGAACCTAATATTACTAAGATTTTGGCAAACGTTAAAATAATGCTTAAACAATGAGTATTGAAATAGTCACTATTCATTGAGTTTAATACGTGGCAGCCTCTGTGCTGAGCCCTGCGTGCGTCCCTCGCTCAGTGCACAGAGCATCTGAGGGTCAGAATAACTGAGACTGCTTTATTGCCCAAGGTCACAACTGGCAGAGCAGCGATTCCAACACTGTGGTTTGTTTCTTCAAAGGCCAACTCTTACGCCTCTGATGAAATGTCTTCCACAGGCTTCTAGGTTCTTTGCTTAACAGCAGCTTAGCTCAGGAGTTAGGGAGCTACTC